ATTCATATACATTAGGCTTTTATAGTAGCTCTTCCCCCCCCCCTCCCCCCCAGGTCAAATTAATGAACCTGCCCAGAATGCAACCCCCACAACAAAATGACTAACTCCTGAGTATTTACTTACTGCTAGGTGAACAGACCCATTAGGTTAAAGGAAATGTACCCAACTATTTCTGTCTCACCCCGAGATTCAAATTCGGAATTCTCAATTGTGCATTGAGGACAAGCCTGACTGTACTACCAGGACCCTTGATCTTTTGCACAATTGTACAACCTGCCCACTGCCTGGAGGTATCATTCTATCCCATCTGTTCTTTTGTCCATCGTTACAATCTCCGTCTCTTTCTTCAAGGTTTCTCCTCTAACTGTTCATTTAAGTAATGCTTTGTAGCACTTCCTCCAACTCTTTTTGACAATATGGTGGTGTTCCCCAAGGTAGTGTTCTGAACATCTTTTCATGGTTGCCCTCAATGGGCGCCTGACAGCTGGGTGGACAGCGCTTCGGATTCGTAGCACTGAGGTTCCGGGTTCAATCCCCGGTGGAGGCGGAGACAAATGGGCAAAATGTTTCTTTCACCCTGATGCCCCTGTTACCTAGCAGTAAATAGGTACCTGGGAGTTAGACAGCTGCTACGGGCTGCTTCCTGGGGGTGGAGGCCTGGTCGAGGACCGGGCCGCGGGGACACTAAGCCCCGAAATTATCTCAAGATAACCTCAAGAATGGTCTTTTTCCTGCCTTCCCCTCTGGCATTTTCTCGTCCCTTTATATTAACGATCTCACCCTCTGCTGTCGGGGTGATGACTTCCCTTTCTTACAACATCAGCTTCAACTTGTGATTGATGCCGTGTCGTTCTGGGCCACCGATCATTGCTTCAAGTTCTCTTCGACTAAGACTTGTGCTATGACTTTTACTGGGAGGCAGGTCATTCATCTCCCTTTGTCGCCCTATGGTAGTCTCCTTCTGTATAAAGATTCTGCTAAACTTTTGGGGTTAATTTTTTAAATTTGTTTATCTTGGTCATCCCATCTCTCTTATCTCCAATTTTAATGCTCTAAAGCCTTTATCTTACTTAAAGTCTTGTCCTACACTTCCTGGGAAGCTGATAGACACATACTCCTTTATTTATGCTCTTCTCTCATACTGTCTAAACTGGATTATGGCTGCCCTGCACACGCCTCTCGTTCTCCTTCGATTCTTCACCGTCTTGATGCTCTGCACCCTGCTGGGATGCACCTCAGCTCTGGTGCCTTTTGTTCACTCCCAATCCAGAGCTTGAATGTTGAAATGGATGGATTGTCGCTCCAGGATCATCAAGATCGTTACTACCTTCACTACCCTGCAAGGTCTCAGCAACATCAAAGAAAATGCAGAATAGAACCAGTAAAGAGCAGAGAACATCAGAGAATAAATCAGAGAACACTGTATGTGTTCTGAAGAACACTGTGTATCAGGGGTCCGCGGTTGTTCAACACCCTCCCAGCGAGCATAAGAAATATTGCCGGAACAACAGTGGACATCTTCAAGAGGAAATAAGATTGTTTCTTCCAAGGAGTGCTGGACCAACCGGGCTGTGGTGGGTATGTGGGCCTGCGGGCCGCTCCAAACAACAGCTTAGTGGACCAAACTCTCACTAGTCAAGCCTGGCCTCGGGCCGGGCTTGGGGAGTAGAAGAACTCCCAGAACCCCATCAACCAGGTAACAACCAGGTATCATCCTCATTCTCGCTACTGCCGGGCTTTGGCTGTTACCCCTCTGGTGGGGCCCTGTTCCCTTTCACCTCCTTCCTTTGTGTGTTTGGATATCTTGCTCACAAGCTTACAAGTTTGTATTAACAATGTCTCTCCTCATGTTATTCCATCCTTACTTCCTTGGTGAGTCCTACTTGTGAAGTTCTGCAAGTCTTTGATCCACATGGTAAAGTCTTCTGTCCCTTCTCTTGTGCTGAAACGCCTTTTCCTTGAACATTTCTCTTCGTACTCGCATTCTGTTGCCCTCTTCACAGGTGGGTCCAAGTCTGCCTACTCTGTTGTCTTTCCAGGCCAAACCTATATGTGCCACCTGCCTACAGAGGCTAGCATCAACATGGCTGAACTGAATGCTATCTTGAATGCCCTTCATTGATTGTTTTCTGTCACCAGCGCTTCTTTGCTCTAATGGTTGACTCTTGTAATATAAGATAAATGGAAACGGCTCTGGTGAGGTTAAGTATTGGCCATACACGATACCCCAGGCATTTAATGAAGCGCTGCCCTGCCCCTTATTGTCCAAACTACATTGTCCCTCTTACGGTCATGCATCTCCTTGATGAATATTTAGATTTTCAGGATGTTCGTGTGTTTTGCTTCCCAAATGTCCCTCGCGGTCATTGTCCCTTGATAGAATTCTTGGTGAATCCATTGCCTTTGATATCACTTGTCTTATGAGTTTTTGTTCTTGTATTAGCATCCTTGGTGATAATTAGTGCCTTTAGAATATCCTGCAATTTTGATGGTGCTACATAGTCTCCCCGGCTTGGTGTGCCCTTCTTGAGAATTACTTTGTCAACACAGATAGCACTACAGAAGGAATAATTAACGGAAATGCTTTAGCAGACACGACTATCCCTACAAAGAATTTTTTTTTTATTATTTTGGAGATTGAAGAAATAGAACAGACTGAAGCAATCATATCAGATTGAAACAAAAAATTCAAACGGAAAACCATACAATACAGAAAAATCCAAAATATTTGTTTGCAAATGTGAAATCGAAATAAAAAATCTCCATCAGTATTGAGCCTTTACTGTACAGTACTTACAAGTGAAAGTTCGTACAGAGGATGAGAAAAAAAATAGTGAAATCCTAAAAAAATAAAAGCAGTATGAGGATATGTTTAGCACCCCAATAAATCAGCAGTCTCCGTGGTGTAGTGGTAAGACACTCGTCATGGGTTCGTATCCTGGCCGGGGAGGATTTACTGGGCGCAATTCCTTAACTGTAGCCTCTGTTTAACGCAACAGTAAAATGTGTACTTGGTTGTAACAACGATTCTTCGCGGCAGGGGATCGTATTCCAGGGACCATAGGATTAAGGACTTGCCCGAAACGCTCCGCGTACTAGTGGCTCTACAAGAATGTAACAACTCTTGTATATATCTAAAAAAAAAAAAAAAAAAAAAAAAAAAAAAAAAAAGTAGAAGATTCAGACAACTTCTTTATTCATGATATCCAAACTGCTGAAAATATAACTGATATCAACACAAACTCTGCCACTTTTGAAAGAGATTAACAACATACCCCTGCACTCAGCCCTGGGTCCAGACTCCTGGGACCTAGGGCTGAGTGTGAGTAGAACAAGCACTTAGTGCAGTGTGGAGAAAAAACTTGGGCACTTGGGAGATGCCATAAGTGTTTAAATCAGCAGATATAGCTCCCCTACAAAATGGAGGGAGCCAAGCATCTAAGAATTGTAGATCAGTGGCACTAATGTCCCACATAACAAGTCTTTAAAAGAGTTATCAGGAGGCAGATGCTCCAGTTTTTATTGAGACCAATGACCTCCACAATCCAGGCCAAATTGGATTTAGAGCGGGAAGATCCTACCTTTCGCAGTTATTTGACTGTAACAGTGCAAGTATTTTGCACTCTTTCATGTATAATTGTGAGTTGTAATTGTGGGTGGGTGTGTGTGTTTGTGTGCGTATGTGCATGTTTTATGATGAGTGAGATGGTAGTGGAAGAGCGAGCCAGCCCCAGCTTGTGCTGACGGCAGTACTATTTAACAAGGAGCCTGTTGTACTGGGTAGTGAGAGTACACAACTTCCCCCACGTTGGGGGTGGCTGGTAGATTCAGTGAGCGACCACCTTGCACAGAGAGAAGGTGACCAGCCAGTCTTCCCACCCTGGTGGATGCCAGTCACCATCAGGGTGTATCCGTCTGAGTTGTGAGGTAAGAGTGTCAGTAATGCATTGTCTTGAAAACCATGACTTATCCTAACCTTGGGAGTGTAGCAGGACAAGCATGTAAATAGCATTTATTGCTTCTTAATTACAATTAGTACTTTTATATTACAATTTTATAAATTAATAAAACAAAACTAAAGTCTTTCAATAAATTATAAAGTAACTCAGGATATTTTAAAATTTTGTATAAAATCGCTATTGTTTAATAAAATTGAAAAAGAAATTTGAAGTCTCTGATGTAGTGGTAAGACGCTCGCCTGGCGTTCCGCGAGCGCTATGTCATGGGTTCGTATCCTGGCCGGGGAGGATTTACTGGGCGCAAATCCTTAACTGTAGCCTCTGTTTAACTCAACAGTAAAATGGGTACTTGGTTGTAAAAACGATTCTTCGCAGGGTTTTTATTCCAGGGAACATAGGATTAAGGACTTGCCCGAAATGCTATGTGTACTAGTGACTGTACAAGAATGTAAGAACTCTTGTATATACAAATAAATAAAAAAAAATCTTTATATTTAAAACTTTTGTACATAATCTGAACACGAAAACTTAACCCAAAAATTTTGAGTGTATTAACACAAAATTAGGAGAATATATGGGGAGGTAAATGTAACAGCACAATTAAGTGTATTTATGTACTATGCAGACAGTCAGGAACATACTTATTACATTTAGTATTAAAACATACTGTTTATTCAGAGGAAGGGTTGGGGTATTGCCTTCGTTGCTCTTGATAATAAGATTTACTGAATCAGCTTGACCTACCTGTTCAGAACGCGTACACTAAATAAATACATTCTTAACAATACTATAACTCATTTGTGAATCCAGTTTCATCCAAGCCCTCTTATTTTGCTGCTGCTTAGAGCAAACAGTTGGTCTTTACCATTTTTGTTTGTGCCCCACGTGCCTCGTACATCTTTTGTTTCATGCTTCACTATGTATTTGTGATGTGTGGTTTAGTTACCGCGGCTCCTCCTTAACACTAACCTCCTGGGACTAGCACTTGCAAAAGGTGTTGAGGAAGAAGAAGAATGTAAGCAAGCAACATGATGTGCTCACCTGTGTGGGTGCTGGAGAAGTGATGGTCTGGCAAGCCTCGTCTCCCAGCTGATCCATTCAGTTCCCTTCTGTCCACTGGGGTTCTTCTACCCTTGTGATTTGCTTCCATAGAAGATACCGGAAGTCCCATTTCATCGTATCTCTGTAAATATCAATACCTTATAGTTTCTAAAACTTTATTATTTTTTATTTAAAAGATTAATACTTATTTAATTAATACAATTGTCAATTTCTTTATTTCATAATATAGCACTTCTGCAAGGTAATACCTGAGAGAAAGGGCTAAATCATATATATCACTACTGTATATAGTTTTGGAAGGGGTTTGAGGACAGACTAAGAGGTGCAGTATGTAGATGGAGTGAAGGAAGTGCCAAACCACTTGGACCATCTGGATGAAATGCCAACTCTACAAAATGCAAGGCTATATCAACCACTGTAAGTGGATTGATGAAAGCAAGTGCAAATGAAAGTACTGTAGTGTAAATATGAATAAACTTGAGTTAGAAGACATCTGCTCCCTCCAGTGTATAAAAAACTAACTATTTTAGCGGGTGTTGGAGGGGAGACAGGAAGGGCCGGTGGTCGGATGGTCCTGCTGAAGGCTCCCCGCTTCCTTGCTTCTCTCATCTCGCTGCGTCGTACACTTGTTGAATCCAGGAACTTGAGTGTTTTTAGATGGTTTAATACGTACAGTCTGAAGACAACAATGTGTTTACCAGTAAGAAAAAAATATTAAATGGCATGATATCTGGTGAAGGATAAGACTATTTGCCAGTTCAGATTCATATGAAGTAGGAAGAGCCCTACATTACTATAGACTAGGATATATGACTGGCATTTTCAGAGCTATTAGTGCCAAATCTTTGTGTTGGCATATGTGATTACACTTTTATTCATCACAATTCACTGTAATGTCTCACTTTTCCTCCCTTATGCATGTATCTAGCTTAAAAGCTTATTCTCTTACATATCTATTCTTTATTGATAAAATGACATCCTATTCCCATTGCTAATATTTGTTCATTATAAATGAAATGAATTATAGCTTAGTTATCATTTGGATGCATTTATCAAGCTCCCTTATGAACACAGTGATAGGTCAGCTAGTTATGCCTCTTGCTTTGTATTAACCAGTTCATGGTAAACCATCTCGTTCACTGTGTCTCGTGCAGTCTGCCTGTATTTCACACACTCATCATTAGGTGACAATGTAAATTACAAGAGGTTGGCTTGCTTGTGTAACTTAATAAACGTGATGGAAAACAGGTTTCAGCCACTCACCTGTACCTCTTGTAATCCTTTTTATCTTTGTCAGCCAAGGAGAGCTGATCGGGACAAGCCTCATTTCCCAGGAGGCTCAGGTACCGCAGGTTGGGCAGCCGCTCTCTGATTTGTTCCACCAGCTTCTCCAGGTTGGTGACCTGTAAGAGGGATAGGGGGCAAGCACTGAGAAATGTAACACATTTAAATTATTAGTAGCTGAATAGTATAGGAGTAAAGAACACTACATGAGGCTGACATACTAGCCTGGGTGCTATAGCCTATAATAATAATAATTTATTTTGTCGGGGGACAGGCAGTGTATTCATACACGTTAGACATATAATGAGGTTCCCTCCCCCTTCCCAAGGTCAAATTACTCACCCTGCCCAGGATGCTATCCCACAACAAGCTGATTAACTCTTGAGTACCTACTTACAGCTATCTTATCTTGAGGTTATCTTGAGATGATTTCGGGGCTTTAGTGTCCCCGCGGCCCGGTCCTCGACCAGGCCTCCACCCCCAGGAAGCAGCCCGTGACAGCTGACTAACCCAGGTACCTATTTTACTGCTAGGTAACAGGGGCATTCAGGGTGAAAGAAACTTTGCCCATTTGTTTCTGCCTCGTGCGGGAATCGAACCCGCGCCACAGAATTACGAGTCCTGCACGCTATCCACCAGGCTACGAGGCCACCCCAGGTGAACAGGCACATTAGATGATAAGAAATGCTGCCAACCATTTCTGTCCCACCAGGGATTTGAACCTGGAATTCTCAACTGAGTCAAGAACGAACCTAACTGTACTACCTGGACCCTAAACACAAGGCTTACATATTAAATGAACTGACATCCCTTTAAATAAAAAAAATAATGAACATAATGGAAAAGGTCATTTCAAATTTATAAATTAAATTTTTTAGCTATTTTATGAAAATGTATTGTAAAATGTTGATCATAAACATTAAAAAAACAAAGAATATGAACGTTAAAATACAGGTATTCTGTAAACCTGTTACAGGTTTACACTGCACTCTAGTATGCTAACTAGTTTGAATGAACTAAAGTTGGAAATAGATTTTTGATGTACTGTATACATGTTAACTGGTTTATCAATGTTGTATCTTACTTCTTCTTGAGGTTATCTTGAGATGATTTCGGGGTTTAAGTGTCCCCGCGGCCCGGTCCTCGACCAGGCCTCCACCCCCAGGAAGTAGCCCGTGACAGCTGACTAACACCCAGGTACCTATTTTACTGCTAGGTAACAGGGGCATAGGGTGAAAGAAACTTTGCCCAGTGTTTCTCGCCGGCGCCTGGGATCGAACCCAGGACCACAGGATCACAAGTCTAGTGTGCTGTCCGCTCAGCCGACCGGCTCCCTCCCTACTTGGCTCAATGAATATTGGGGTTCAGTTCCTGAGCCAATTATAAAAGTGTAACCTTTCTACCAACACTTGCAAGATGGGTATGGAATACATGGTATACATGGTATGGAATACCATGGTATGGAATACATGGTATATATGGTATGGAATACCATGGTATGGAATACATGGTATATATGGTATGGAATACCATGGTATGGAATACATGGTATGGGTATGGAATAATCTTACCCTGTTCTTTTTAAATTGAAATTTTAATTAAACTTTGATTTATGTCAGTTATTAAAATTAATTATTGAGCTCATTTTGTTGTCTTAAGTTTATACTAATTACAGGTTCAAAACTAAACTATATAAAATTAATTAGCTTTAAGATTATTTTACTTTAGGATTATCATTTATCTCATTTTTTGTTATATATTAATCTTGACAGTCCTTACTGATTTTTTTGTTTTCTCCGCCTAGCTTCTGTATCCTTCCTGGGTATCTACGGTGATCTTTATTATACTGTACTTCAAATTGTTTCTATTTTTTTGTGTACTTGCATTTATTGTTGCGTTTTGCTATAATAATTCTCTAATTGCAGCAGATTTAGTATATGTAAACATCTACCTCAGTATTATAGTAAAATTTTACTCATTAATATAATCTTACCCTGTTATTTTTTTAAATTTTAAATTTAATTGTACTTTGATTTATACATCATTTATTGTAATTAATTATTGAGATCATTTTGTTTTCTTAAGTTCATACTAATTATAGGTTCACAACTAAGCTATAGAAAATAATTTATCTTTAAGATTATTTTACTTTACGATTATTATTTGTCTTATTATTTTTGCTATATATTAATCTTGTCATTCTACTGATTTTTTATCTTCTCTCTTAACCTAACTTCTGTATCCTTTCTGGCTATCTTCGTTGATCTTCACTCTACATCTATTTGTTCTATTTTTTGTGTACTTACATTTATTGTTGTGTTTTGCTATAATTACTCTCTATCTACAGCAGATTTAGTATTTAACTGTTCCTGTATTTGCTTGTCTTATTGTATCGTGACCCCATTGCATCTACATGCATACTGATATTGATCCTGATCGAAATCTTCTGTTTCATATCTACACTAATCAGCACATTGACCATTATTGCAGGTATTACACAGCAAATCTTGCAAAAAACCAACTCCTAAATAGCACCTGATTATCATTTTACAACCAAAATGTTAGATCACTTGGTAAACATTTTGATGATATAAATGCATTACTCACAGCACTAGGTACTAAATTATCATTCATTATTTTAACAGAAACCTGGCTAAAGTAAACAAGTAAAGACTACCCAACTCTACAACTTAGCTGGTTATAAAGCCATTCATAACTGCAGGCCTAATAAAAAAGGAGGTGGCACAGCAATATATTACAAAGATATCTTCATCTGCAATAGTGTCATTAGTGATAGAGACGACTATTGTGAATATACCTTTGCCAAGTTCTCCAGTAAATCCCTTAAATCCTCCCTGACTATCGGTGCCATCTATAGATTTCCCAATACCAACATAGCTTCATTCTCAGATAGCGTAAGGAATCTTATCATAAATAACAATCTCAACAAAAATCACATCATTCTAGGAGGTGATTTCAATATTGACCTGGGTCTTCAAAATAACCCTCTAGTTGACTATTTCCATAACAGCATGAACTCTTGTATGCTAATCCCCACAATCACCAAGCCCACCCGAGTCACTCAAACATCTGCCACTACCTTGGATCACTTATGGACTAATATAACAGCTCCCCTTACATCTGGGGTAATCTTTGACAGAACAACTGACCACTATCCTACTTTCCTCATAGCAAACATGGACACAACACAACCAGAAAGCAAGAAACTGTCATTCAGGCTACACAGTGAATCAGCTTTAGGCAATCTCTCAAATGCACTTCACAATATTAACTGGGAATCTGAATTCAATAATACACAGGATATAAACTCATTAACTAACCTTTCTCTCCAAAACTCTAAGCCGCTACAACACTCACTGTCCCCTCCTTACCAAACAAGTAACTGACAAAAGAATAAACAATCCGTGGTTCACAAGTGGCATATTCAAATCAATCGACAAAAAGCATGAATATGAAAAGAAATTTAGGATTGGCCTAGTTACAAAGGAAGTAGTTAAAAGGTATTCATCAGTGCTTACCAGGATCATAAGAAAAGCTAAACTTTCATATTATGAGACTAGATTCAAAGAAGCAAAAGGCAACATGAAAAGCACATGGAAAACCATCTCTAATATCCTAGGAACTAAACAACACTCCCACAACCAGATAACACTCTAAGGATGGCTATACACTGTCAACTGATTTAGAAATGGCAAATGAATTTAATAGCTTCTTTTCATCAGTTGGTGCTAACCTCGCCAGTAAAATCCCACAGACCCAGAAACATATCAACACATATCTCTCAGGCAGCTATCCAAACTATCTTCTCCTTTCACCAGTCAGCCCGACAGATGTTGTGTCCATCATATACTCACTAAAAACCAAGGCTGGGAACATCAGTGAAATCCCGTCCATTGTATACAAGAGGGCCTCCCATGCCCTTGCACCACCCATAGCTCTGCTGTTCCAAATCCCTAGTGTCATACCTTTCCTGATATCCATAAAAAAAGCAAGAGTAAGCCAGTTCATAAAGGAGGCAATCCGGCAGACAAAAAAATTATAGACCAATATCAACCCTACCCATACTATCAAAAATATTTGAAAAAATTATCTACAAACAGCTCTACTCCTACCTCATAAAATTCGACATACTCAGCCCCTGTCAGTTTGGTTTCCGCTCCCAAAAAAACCAGCGTTGAATGTAATGAAACACCATTTTCTGGGTGAGTCCCGGAGGCTCCCCGGAGCTATCACAGGCTGATATGCTAATGTCAGACTTTGGCATCAGTCATGTGTATGGAGTTCTTAGGCCTACCGGGGACCACGGCCAGAACCGGGCCCCCTTAGAGAGGCAAGGGGCGCAATGGCCTATAGAAGCCCCCGTGTAGTTGGAAGCATTCTATGTCTGCCATCGACCGGAACAGGCACCCAGAAAGGTAAGCGCCCCAAAACAAACCCCTATTCTGGTTAAAATTGCTACCAAAAACCGAACTAGTGGATAGAACTCCCCAACCGAAAACAAGCAAACTAGTGTGACGTCACACACTGCCGCGCCGCTGTCTGCGCAGCTCCCCCCTCCCCGGGAGGGGGAAGGGGGAGCCCCAGACCCCCCGCGCCGGCTACCCACACCTCGGTTCTTGAGGCTGGATGTCAAAAACGCGAAAAACCGCCGACCGGAGGGAGGGAGGGATGCCGGGGAGCCTCCGGGACTCACCCAGAAAATGGCGATTCATTACATTCAACGCTGGTTTTCTGGGGGGAGCCCTGTCGGCTCCCCGGAGCTAACTACCCACATACAGAAAAAGAGGGACTTACCCGGGAGGCGGTTGTCGCTCACCCCTCAACTCGAAGCCGAGACAACTGGCTGCAACCGCCGACCCAAAGCAACACAGGCCCGACGAGGCCCAGGGACATTCACAAGGTAACGAGCAGCCAGGACCCTGTTCGACCGGCAAAATCCCATGCCCGAATATCAGACCAAGACATATTCCCAAAGACGGCAGCTAGAGCCGCGAACTTACGAACGTCATGGGCACGGGGATAGACCGCAGGCTGGCTGGACCTAATAACCCTGCGGACGACCTGAGAGACCCGAACCCGCGAACAGGGAAGAAGGGAA